GAGAACTGGTGCTGCGCTCCTAGCGAGTCGCATCTGGCAGGCCGGGGCAGTGGCGCCCAGGAAAGCAACCAGGTGGATGAACGCAGTCGACCCCTAAACTGAAGCGGCGTACCGCAGGCCCCCTCAGGCAGGCTTTGAACTCACTTTATAGTTCAAGCTAACCTTGAACTCCCAGTGACTCCTGCCTCAGCCTCAGGAGTGCTGGGATGACAGGCTTGTGCGTGTAACTCCTCAACCACACCCCCCTGTCCTGGTCACTTTAAATTTGCCCTCCTTTCCATTGACTCACGTCGTGGTCTTCTCAATGAAAGAGCTGCAATAAACCAGCAGATCTCCAAGAAATCTTTACTGCATTGGGAAGAATGAACAGAGATGGAGGTAGGAGAGAGAAAGGTAGAGAAGAGGGCTAGGCATGTGGGAGTCCCTCCCAGTGGCTGGGACACACAGCCCAGCACCCACAGCGGAAAGGGGAAAGGGTTTGTGTGGTTCAAGGGTTCAGGGGTTGGCAGGCTGCAAGGCAGACAGGGCAGGGAGGACGCCAGCGCTCATGCTACCCAGGGAAGCCAGGACGCAGGGAAGAAAGGAGCCGGGATCCAGGAGCCTGGAGCGACCCCCAGCCCCGGCCAGCCCCGCCACGCCCGCGGTTAGCTGGGCCCTCCCCAGTACCCACCCGCACCGAGGAGTGGAGCGCCCCACGATCCAGCACCTTACAAACCCCACTTCCGAGGCCTTGGGGGACCAGCCTCCATGCATACAAAGGTGGGCGAGGACAGCCAAGGAAGGGGGACGGACCGGAAGAGCAGGAGAGGGCCAGAGCCAGAGACAAAGAGCGAAGAGTGAGTGAAAGGCAGGAGGGTGAAGCGGAAGCTCCCCAGAAGCCCGGGCTTTTCTTTGTTTTCACACCCACAGCTCCAATGCACGCATCTGCAGCGTGGCCACCGACAGCGTTGCCACCGGTCGCAAAGTCCACGTGGAGAAGTGCAGCCCTGGCCGGCGGCCAGGCAGCTTGAATGGCGCACCATCGAAGGCGGGATATTGACTTAGGGAGCTCTGGAGCAGCCTTCCCCGGAAAGCTCCGCCCTCAACAGCTGTCCATTAGTTAATGAATGTGCAACATTAACTCAGTGGGTTCTCTAAAGGTGGTCAGGGAAGCAATCTCATTGGGAACCTGTCCATAGCGCAGAGCTGGGGGTGGGGATGTGGTGGGGGAGGGTGGTCCCTGGGTCTTTTCTTCCTCCTCCTCCTTGCCCTCCTCCTCCTCCCCCTCCTCCTCCCCCTCCTCCTCCCCCTCCTCCTCCTCCTCTCCCCAGACTCTGCGGCTGAGGGGGGTCCCTCATGGGAGAGTCTGTCTCCACACCTCGTGGGGCAATCCTGAAGAAAGACAAGATTTTTTTTCGGTTGACTCTTTTTATAATGTATTTGAAGAGAGACAGACTTACATATGAAGCTCTCAATCACACAAATCTGTATGAAGGAGGCATTTTTGTTTTTAAAAGTAAAGTGGATTTATTTTTCCAGTCTTGGGGATTGAGCCCAGGGTGCTCACGCTGAGCTGCAGAGGCACTGGCCTCACCCATATGTCTTTATTTTGGGACAATCTTGCTAAGTCAGTGGACCAGGCTGGGCTAGGACTCCCAGAGCTCCCGTCTCAGCCTCCCAAAGCCCTGAGATTGCGGGTGTGTGCTACACACCTGACTTTTCATTTTGTTCTGATTTTGAAACAGGCTTTCATTACCTAGGCTGTGCTGGCCCGAGTGCGTGCTTCAGCCTCCCGGGAGCTGGGGTTGTAGGTGTGCTCCACTACGCCCAAGAATGAAACCAACTATAATAGAAAAGCAGTGTACAGGCCTGAAAATATGAGAGGAGGTAGGAAGCAGCTCAAGCCTGAGAAGCACTGAACTGGGGCACTGCACAGGCAAGACCAGAAATAATCCCTGGTATGCTGCTGGGTACGTGGTGAAGTAGGCCTCTGGTTGAGTAGGTCCTGGAAAAACCAGCATGCATTTGGAAAATGGATGAGTGTGTTAAAAGAAAGAAAGACGCAATGAATATCATTTTACAGATTTTGATGGGCTTTGTTTGGGATTCTGAAATCAGGCAGGACCAAACAGGGTTCAACGCCTCGATACACCACACAGGGAAGGGCTGCTTCTGGCCAGGAAAAGGAATCATAGAGGAAACGGCAAGGAGAGGACAGTGCAGGTGCAGAGGCTTCCGGGCGTGCGGCCTGCACATGGGCTGCCTGTGCTTCGCTAACCTCAGCTGCTTGATAAAAGAACAGGAAACGATCTGCTTAGAGCTCAGGTTACTGGCAGTTTACTGCATGCAGGTGATCCTGTAGGTTAAGCCTTCAACTTAACGAGTGGATGGAAGGACGGTTAGGCAAGCGGGTGGCCGGGCACCTGGATAGCTGCCCATGCCATAGGCCAAGAGCGTCTGTAGAGGGGATTCTCGTGGCTCAGTACAAAGCGAGCACCGTTGGCTTCAAGGGAACTGGAAATGAGCTTGCCTGGTTCTCAGCAGCTCGCCTAAGCAAATAGGTGAAAGGCCGTTCATTTGCGGGTGACCTGGCAGCCTCCAACTAATTCTTATGACTTTAGGATCTCAGCAAAGTTATTAGGGCTATGAGTTCTGGAACCAGACCTCCCCTGTTGTTCCCTACTCATAACCTGCTGTGCAAGAGCACACCAGGATTTCTTGCTCACGTCCAGCTATCATTTGTTAGCCACTGGCCGGCCCTTCCCCATCCCCGCTTCCCTCCGCTCTCCCCAGCCTCTGATAGCTGCCATGCTATTCTCACCTTCCATTTGGTCACCTTTTTCAGGTTCTATATGTGAGTGATGTCATGCGATATCTGTTGTTCTGGGCTTGGCTGCCACCTAACAGAATGCTGCCTATTTCCACTCACGTTGCTGCAAATGACAGGATTCCATGTTTGGGTGTGTGGTACTCCACAGTATATAAGATATATATATATATATATATATATATATATATATTCTGTCCATCAGTTGATGGACACGAGGTTGTTCTCCTTTCTTGGCTCTAGTAAACAGGGTTGCATAAAGCCCGGAGTGCAGGCATCTCTTGGGCACGCTGGTTTCACTTCCTTTGGATACGCACCAGGAGTGAGGTTGAGAGATCACATGGTGGTGCCATTTTTAATGTTTCTAAGGAGGCTCAGTGCTGTTTGCTGCTCGCTTCCCCAGGTGTACTGGGTCCCTCTTGCACCACATCTTTGGCAGCACTTGTTAGCTTCAGCCTTTCTTATGCTGTATTCTAATTGGGATGAGGTGCTATCTCATTGTGATTTTGATTTATATTTTCCTTGCAATTGGCCATATTTATCATTTTTTTCCGTGTATCTGTTGGCCATTTCTATTTTCTTCTGAGAGATATTTCTAAAAGTACTGTCCATTTACATCAGAGTTTTTGTTGGTTTGTTTTGTTTTAGCAGCATGGAAGATTGACTGTTTTTAATTTTGGAGTCTCACTAAGTCACTAAAGAGCTCAGGCTGGGCTTAAACTTGTGCTCCTCCTGCCTCAGGATTTCACAGTTCTGGGATTATCAGCTTATACCACCATGGCTGCCTCCAACTATTATTACCATTATTATTTTTTGTTTTTACTAGTTTTTGAAGTTCTTGTGTGCTTCAGATAACAACTGTTTGTTCAATCTACTGTGTGCAAGTACTTTTCTTTGGTTCTCTAGGGTGTCTCTTCACTGTTCTTTGTACTTTTTGCTGTGTAAAAGCTATTTTGTAATTTTGCTTTTGTCTTCTCAAAAATTTTTTGAGCCTTCTTCAAATAAAATCTTTGCCCAGTCCAGCACACTGAAGCACTTCTGCGATGACTTCTTCTAGTCATTTCATAACTTCATGTCCTATGTTTAAATCTTTAATCCGTTGTGAGCTGACTTTCACAACTAGAGAGGTAGGAGGCATAGTGCCTTTCTTCTGCATGTGAGTGTCCAGTTTCCCCAACACCATTTATTGAAAAGACTGTCTTTTCTCCCGTGCATATTCCTGGCAACTTTATCAAAAAATTAGCTGACTACAGATGCATGAATTTACTCCTAGGATCTCTGCTCTGATTTGTGTGTCTATCTGTTTTTATGCCAACCATACCATTTAGTTTATGAAAACTTTGCAGTATTTTTGAACTCTAGTTGTGTGGTACATAGTCTTTTCACCCATGATGAATGTGAGTATTTCAGTTTTGGTTATTATTGTTTTTTTTTTTTTTTTGGTTATTATTGTTGATGTCCCATATAAGTCTTAAGATTTTTTTTATGGTCTGTAAAGAATGTCACTGGTATTTTAATAGAGATTACACTTAATCTGTAGATTGCTTTGGGAATTATTATTATTTATTTATTTAGTACAGGGTCTACAGACCTATAGAGTCTTACTACATAGATCGGACTTGTAGTGATCTGTCTGTTTTCAGTCTCCCACGTGCTGGGATTATAGGCACGCGCCACCATCCCAGGCTCAATCACCATCTCAGCACACCCTGGGGGCGGGACTGGCATGGCATGCCAGGAATCGAATCCCGGCCACTGCACTCTGCCTAAGCAGGTGCTTTAGTCTGCTGAGCTATCTGGCCGGCCCACTTTGGGTATTACGAACATTTAAAAATATTGATTCTTCGATCCAGAAACATGAAGTTTTTCCACTTTGTGTGTCCTATTTAAAGCTTGTTGTGAATATTTTGTAATTTTCAATATAAAGTCTTTCACTTCTTTGATTTATTTTATTCCTAGTTTTTAAGCTATTGTAAATGAATTGCTTTGTTGATTTCTATTTTAAATAATTGCTG